ATTTATAAAAAGATTATTTCTGAAATTATGTAAAGATAGTTTATACTTCCATCCCATGTAATATCTGTTTACTTTTATGAAGATGATGAAGAAGATTAATAAGAATAACCTGATTATTATCTTCATTTCAATCCATTACAAAACAGACCAAAGAAAATTGACACAAATTTCAAACGACTCTTCTAACAAAAAAACGTACCTTATTGGAAGTTACTTATTTTTTGTTCACTACCACCTAACCACGGTAATATTATCTATACAGTATTGTGACTCGGCCCTGTCCTTGAAATAACTGCCTACGGCCGAGCGGGGCGTGGACACGCGGTAGGGCTGCCCACCTACAGTATTTTAATTTCATCTACGTACAGTTTGTCTATAATGCCGTGACATGAATGTTTGAGGAACTAACATTATTCATGTGTCTGGCAACACCAAACTTATGTACATCAGCTGTCATCGAGTTTCAGTTGTGGAACAGTTTTCCTTTTGTATTTTTTATTGTTTGGATTAAACTGTAATAAATTAAGACGAAACTGCGCAGAAAGGTATAAAAATGAGTAAAGTAAATCGGATTGGCACGCGGGAAGTGATTTTTAAAGTTTTCCAGCGATGTTTCGAAGACTACCAAGCTGGACGAATTTTGTGGGATTTGGATGATGTTTATGGGCGAACAGCATCTATGACAGGTATGTAATCGTGTAACTATTTGTTTGTAATCTACCTGAAGTTACAAATTTACGATTTTGAGACCAAAAAAGGCATTGTTTACATTGCACATTTTTAGGTTAGATTGACATTGTAAATAGGTAATATTGTAGTATGACCATTTCCTTTGATACGTTATTATGGTTCAACTCGGTCAGGTTTTCTACCAATTTTGAATTAATTGCTTCATGTCAATAAGTTATTGTTTCTATTCCGTTACATATTTTTTTACTTTTTTTCAGGATAATCAGAGAGTCGGATAGTCAACGAAGGTTTTAAGAATCATGGAAAGTTTGAAACTCCTGGAAAAACAGGCAAGGCCGACCAAAGAAAGAAATGGTCACATAAAGAATCATGGCCAGATGCTATTAGTGAAGATACCTATCACTAATTTTACTAACTGCACATTTACAAATTGTTTCTCTAAATAAACTTTTTATATACTATAAAATGATTATTAGTATTATTTTCTTAACAAGTGTGTTAAAAAACGTCGTATGATGATACTTGTGTGTATTGATGATTACCTAACGGTTCTGGTCTCAATGGCACCTCAGCGGTAATCACCAACAGTACACACTTTTACACTATAAAGTACTATTTTATCTATAATATTTTTATTCTGATTCAATTAAATATGCTTGGCTAAACTTTTTATAAGCATAGGTACCTTCTATGTATAAAACAGAAACAAAATACGACTGTATATTTGTCTTATTAATTACAGTCCATCAAATCTAAGAAGTACCGTTTGACGTTTCATGTTTTTCAAACAGATATAACTTTGTTTAAGCGTAACTTATTCAAATTCGATAATCTTTTTCGTAAAACCATGAATTCATAAAGGTTTTATTATTGGATCTAAAAATGTACAATAGGCTAGTTGACCCTTTTTGGAAAAAGGTTTTAAATGGTTAATAAATGTTCTATTAGACCGAAAAACAATGTATTGTATTTTTTTTAAACCTAGAAAGCTACAAATCTTTAATTTTAAAATAGACTTTTCATGGACATACAAAAACGCTGTCGGCCATTTTAGTCTATAGATTGTCTATGCTATGACGTGAACTGTGGTAAACAAAAACTCGTAAACACATAGAAAATTACTTAAAACTGAGTTTATAATAAAAAAAAACATGATTTCTAATAAATACTACGAAGAATAAAGTAATTATCATAACTGTATTGTACGAGAATATAAAAACACATCGTTGAAGACTCCAGGAAAGTTGTGGATTAAAGTGCCGAAAGAAATTAACCTACGCAACTTTATTACACTTATTCATATGTTGTATCAGTTTTATGTTTATTACTATATTGTAATACTAAATGCACTGTACTTACATAGATGCCTTGTCGTTTCTCTGCTCCGCAGAACAAAAATCGGGGTTTAGTGCAACAAATTCACCAACCATCAATGCGTCAATTCTTGGCAGATTTGTGCTTTCTGCTTTCACAAAGCCGGCATCCATAATTTGTTTAGTCAAAAAAAACTAAGTTTACTGTTTTTTTCTTTCCTAAAGTTAAAAGTGTTTTTAGATAAATTTAGTCAGACGAAAGAATCCACCTACAGTAACACGCGAATGACATTTAGTTGTTTACCACAAGAGACGTCAAAATCATGGCGAAAGTGGCGAACAGCGTTTTTAGTGTTTAAAAAATATAGGCTAAAAAATATTTTTTAAAATTAAATTTCTACAGCAATCTTCTGCTTTTATGAAGTGAAATCGATATTTTAAGGTTCCTTAGACTAAACACTTTAAGAAATAAACATTTATTTAATACAATTCGACATGAGTAAACTAGCCTATTCTTAATATCTAAATTTAATTGAAAACTTTCAAAGAAAGCAAAATAAACAATATTTACACAATAAATAAGTTCTAATAATCACATAGTTAGGTCACTGCTCGTAGTGTTGCGACTCTTCGGAATCAATTGTGTACGAAAAAATCGTGTACATTATTCGGAAAATAGAATTTATTACTTTCAAATTATTAATTAACGACTTTATAAAAATACATGACAGATGACAAAATGATCAAATTTGATGCCTCGGTCCATAATCTACTCAGATTACGATGTTGTAAGCGCTAGAAGCGCTTATGGCCAATGTCAGACCACGGCCAGAAAGCGAATTTTCGATGTAATGTTTAGGGGTAGAGCGCAATTTAATTTTTGTATAATTTCACGTTACTGCTCGATCGCATAATGCATTTAATACATAGGTTCACTAAAATAAATTAATTTAATTATTTACAAATAAATGTATATAGGCGAAATAGCTCCAGAAAAAAGATATTTTTATCAGACAACACTGCCGACCACAAGCGCACGCGGTCCCCCTCGCCCGCGTCAGCAGTCTCTAGCCATCTTGGAAGCTGACTGTGCGCGTACCTACTTTCTCGTTTGTGTTTTACAATTTGTGACTTGGCTATTACTTTTCTGGACTCTGAACTAAGCAAGTGTTTATTAATGATGTCGATTGAGGGCGTACTTTGAACAGCCAGGCTCGTGAATTGGTGGTGAAATTACACGAGTATTTTGAGCGTGAATGTCAAAATGGTGGAGCTCTACTGCTAGTTACACAAGTTCGGGATCGCGTCGGCGAAGCTCTCGGTATTGGTAGCCGCACCGTCGGCAAAATATTAAGTGAAAAATATGGGCCTTCGTGGAGTGACAGTAACGTACTTCACACGCCGAAAAAAGGAAAAGAACTAAACCTGTGACAGGTATCGATGACTTCGATAGCCATGCTATTAGAAACCATATCTATGGTTATTTTACAAGAGGCGAATTTCCAACATTGGCAAAGTTATGTGCAACTTTAGAAGATGCCGGGCTGTACAAGGGAAGCATAGAGTCGTTGAGAACGATAATAACAGGAATTTGCTTCAGATACAAAAAAGTTGACAAACGAAAAATTGTTATGGAGCGACATGACATAATTATGCCGCGACTAACATTCCTACGCGAAGTAAAACAAATTATAAACTGGGATAATGTAATATTTTTGGAGGAAACATGGCTAAATTCCAACCACTCTGTGCCGAAAACATAGACAGATGATTCTGAAGCTTCGTGCTCGAAAGTGCCGATAGGGAAAGGTGGACGCCTCATTATATGCCATGCTGGATCAGCGTCTGCAGGTTTCGTGGAAAATTCATTATTAGCTTTCCAATCTAAAAGCACAAAAGAGTATCATGAAGAAATGGACGCGGAAAGGTTCCAAGAGTGGTTCTTCAATTTACCGAAACCGAAGAACACGGGCACAAAGTCATACGACTTCCTCCGTACTATTGCCAATATAATGCCATTGAACTGATTTGGGCCCAAGTTAAAGGTAATACTTTATAATATAATAATATTTTTAGTAGTTGATTATATTAATAACAAGAGATTTTCCGTTAAGTACAGTAATACTATAAAACATTACCCTTCTTCTTCGCAGTTGTGTAAAATTGTACATTACCTAACAAAATATTGCAAGATTAGCTTAACACAATTTGTAGCCACATAACACGAGTGCCTCTAGCTTTTATAATTTTAAAAATAGTCTAAGTCTCCCACCTAATAATTATATAATTGTTTTACAGGTTATGCAGCAAGACACAACACAAAACCACCCTTCAGTGTCAAGAAAATGGAAGGCTTATTAAAGGAAGTATGTGCGCAAGTTACACAAGAAGATTGGTCAAAAGTAGTAGAAAAAACAAAGAAAATAATAATGGACGACTTCGACAGAGACGTAAAATTCGATGATTTCATGGATAATCAACTAGTCATTATTTTAAATGACGATGATGACGAGGACGACAATGATTCCAGTACTTGTAGTGAATAAAAAAATATCCTAAACATTACTTTTATTTAAATGCTTCGACTTCGACCTTCAGAACCTTAAGATTTTTTCGGTATTCTATCCTCAGATTACTAGTAAAACCTAAATTTATAAATAAACAACCTTTTACAATAACATATTTAAAAAATATAGGAAAAGAGTACAGAGAAATAATATCTTAAATTTCGGATATTATGGTCATTGATCTCTTAAAATTCGGATATTATAGTAACTGATCTCTTAAAATTCAGATATCATAGTAATCGATTTTTTAAAACCCATCCCTATTATTCAAATTGTCAGAACTGTCAAACGGTACTTTCTTAGATTAGATGGACTGTACCTATTTTACTTGAATGAACTGCCAGTATCAAAATCATTATGGTCCGACTGTAGAGGGTTGCTACATGCATACTACTGGCGCCATCATTTAATGTCACGACTTTATAGACAAACTGTACTACTAATGACTGGCCAATATGAGAAATACCAAGGCCATAAAAACTTAATATAAAAAAAAACCTTTGCCCTTCCCAAAAGGGATATATTGACAAAAAAAAGTGTTTGACTCTGTGTGTTCTCTTAATGGTCTGTGCTCTGTGTTCACTCTTGTAGGTTTTATGGTAAACTTTTTTGTTAAACTTGCAAAATGTGGTATCTACAAAACGAAAATGATGAAAGAGTTATTTATATTGCTGGGAAAAATAGTGAAATTACAATCGGAAGAAATACCGACCCACAAATAAACTGTTTTGTTATACCTGATGATCCTTCTATCAGCCGAAAGCACGCCACTCTTTGTAACTTGAATGGTGAATTGTTTTTGCAAGATTTGGGTTCGAGGTATGGAACGTTCTTAAATAACAACAACGATAAAGTTGAAAGTCAGTCTATGATAAAATTAAAGGATGGAGATATTGTTAAATTTGGAAAAATGAATAGTGTTTTTAAAGTGTTCTTCAAGTCGTTTGTTACTTGTACATCCACACTCAAAGGGGAAAATTTGCAAAATCTAAGACAATGTTTAAATAATCTCTCGGGGACATTAAAGAATGAATGGGACGAAAATTGTCAGTATCTCACCATGCCCGCTATTACTTTGACTATGAAAGTTGTTTTAGCATTAGTGCAAGGTGCACATATTGTTACAGTAGAATTTTGGAACAAGAGCCTTGAAGCTTTGAACAGTCAGGTAGTATTACCAGATCCTAATAACTATACCCCTCAAGTTATAGAATCTACCCTTAATAAGGAGAATGTGACATTCTTGCCGAATGATCGACGACGGACATTATTTTCTGGAAAAAGGGTGTTATTTTTCTCAAAACGTCAATTTGAAATGTATAAAACTGTATTAACAAATGCTTCTGCAAATGCCCTGTTATTAAGCGAGTGTAAAATGACAAAATCTGCACTTTGTGAAAATAATGTTATTGTAATACAGTACAATATAAGTGCTGCATCACAAGAGACTCAGGCACAAAAGATTTTGATTGAAGAAATATTAAATTATTTGAAGAGTAAAGGCAAAAGGCTGATTACTGATGTTGAAATAGGTTTAGCTGTATTGTATTGTTCTACTGAAAAGTATTGCAATCCTGACTTTCAATTCCCAGCTGAAATAATTAAACAATCTGAACAAAATACTAAATTAAACAATGTGCTGGCACAAGAATCCCAAGAATCTAATCAAAACATTCAGTCCCACAGAGAAAATGTAGTAATTGATGAAACTTTAACTACTATTAACAGTGCAGAAAATATAAAATGTATTAATATGAAGCGGAAGAACTGTGATGGTTATGAAGCTCAAGAAAATGTGCAGAAAAAAATGGCTTTAGATAAATGTATTGAAGATGCTTCTAACAGTGGTGTTAAGAGAAAAATAAATGAAGATGACATTGATACCAATCCTCTTAAAAAGATGGCATCTGACTTTGAATCTACTGACAGTCAAGATAACTTTAATTTTGTAAGTACTGTAAGTACTAACTATACTGACAAACATCAAGAGACATCCACAAAAACACTGAATTTAATTAAACCTCAAAAGCGGAAACTTGAATCTGATGATAATGAAGATGATCCATTTCAATTTGTGACAAATAAACCAAAAATACCATTTCTGAACAAATCCAATCTTTTTGATAATGATAGAGACACAGAAAATATTCAAAAGGCAAAAGAATCTGAAACAATGACTGAAAATACTAAAAGTATGATATCAAATAATGCAGACTTGACATCTTTAAGAGGAATAAAACTTGAAGAGTTGATGAAAAATAATGAAAAGTTAATAAGTAATGACAGAATTAATCAATTTAAGACACCAATAAAAGAAGAATTAGATGAGAAGATGAGTGAACTCAATTTAGGCATTACTATAGTGACAATAAAGAAAGAATTGATTATAAAAAAGGAACCTAAACTTGTAGAGGAAAAGAATCATAATGTGAGAGACTTCAAAAAGTTTAAGAAAGTATGGCCTGTTAAAATGCAGATATCTTTAATTTCCACTTCATCAAACAGCACTATTGACAAACTCATTAGTACAAATGAATTACAGAATTGTGTCACTCAAAATGCAAAGTAGTGTTGTTTGTATTAAATAAGTAATTGATATTAAAGTCTTATATTTGTTTATTGGGAGTATATTACAAATAAAATCTACAATGAAAATGCTGTTTTAATTCACTTTTATTCTTTATTATCAGATTCTTCATCATTATCTGATACCTCTTCTTTTTCGTCAGTTGGTTCTTCTTCATCACTTGCACTAAAACAGAAATAATATATATTTAACTCATAACTATCTTCTGAGCGACTTTTTGAGGAGGGTATTGACTCTTGGTTCAAAGCATGTATAATGTATGTGTTTTGTAAATGCCTTTCAAAAAAATTTAATTGTAGTCGGTGATCTTTATGATTACCACATCAATAGCTAGCTGGAGACTAAGGCATGCAAATTCATTGTGATATAATGTTTTAGTGTATATGTACAAGACATCCAATGGCATGCCCTTTGCTTCGCACCTTATACATACAAATTATGTTTATATTATGTTATGAAATACCTCGATTCTTGTTTTGATAAAGAAACAGTTCCATCAGGAGCTACTCTCACTCTACTATTAGGTATTGTTGATAGTTCATCTTCAAAATCTCTGAAGGTCTTGGGTTTCTTCATTCTCATTTTAGGAGGATTGACAACTGAATTTGAAGGACCTATAGAAAATAGAATTACTTTAGCTATTAATTATTAGTATTCAATGTCTGCTAACCTGGTAACAAAAAACCAGGTTGCTAACAGATTCGACTTTACTTGTTTTTAGCTATGTAGACAGCAGTTTGCCACTGAATTTCATTTGAACTTCCAAATTCTACACAGGGGCGTATTTAACTTTGGGCCAAGAGGTCTATGGCGTGGGGCGGCAGGCAGCTAGGGACGGCTGTAATAGCCGTAAGGGGTGGTGGAGCCATATCAAGGAATGCGTTATTGACTTTACTTTTGATTTGCTTTACTTAACTGGGCTGTGGGGGGTACAAATCATAAAAGGCCCGGAGCGCCAGATTTACAGCCTATAAATATACAGCCCTGAGTATATTGTAAACGGGGGAGCGTTGATAACCGCACTGTAAAAACCATGTTGTCATTTCACCACAATTTCACGAATATCCTGCATGATTGGACTGATTGACATTTGCCATAGTGATTGAGTTGATGTTTTTCCTGCCACACATAACAGGGTGGCTGGAATAATTATAAAAAAAACCTGTTAAATAAAATATTAAAAGAATCTGTTCATTACATAATATCAGATCATTCAAATGATGTGTTTCATCACTGATGGAAACGGACTACCACTTTTAAACTGTCTCCTTTAAATGTGAATCAAACAACACGGCCTGATACTAGTGCTTTTAGCAACTGTGTGGCCACAATATGCAGTGGTGGATTGTAATGGTGAATTTGCTTTGTAACAGATCTTATTGATGCTTTGATGCACTTAGGCCTGTATTATAGAATGACAATGAAGTGTTGATCTTTACTTGTACAGTTAGAAGGGGATGTTGCTATGTGCTATATATAGTGACATCCCTTTCTAACTATGCTCAAGACTAATTCAATCACTGAGAATCTTTCTTTAATACGGGCCTTAGACTCTGTGCTAGTATAAAATGACCATAACAGAGGGCCCACCAAAGTCAACAATCAGCAACATACTTTGTCACAGAGTAGGATTTGGATTCTATTAGGTCAACTATTATTAAGTACTTACGTAAAGTTATATACAGAGGCACAGACAATGACAATGGTAATTTTAAGGCTATAGATCTTATATTAGCCTCACCACCTGGATATTTATCTTGAATTTGTTTAACTAGAGAAAGAACATTTTCTTTCAAATTTTCTTTTGACATGCCTGTGTGACCAATCAAAATTACAGATGTAGGCCCTTCACTAAGTCGTAACATAGATGTGCGTAATCCTATATCTACTGCCATTTTAATATCTTTTTTCTTTTCATTTAATCTCACAGGAATCAACATGTTATGCTTTTTGAAAAACATTTTTCCCAGTATGTGTGAGACATGGTTTAATACTCTTGTATCTACCATAATAAAGTCATGTTGGGTCAGCAATCTTCGCTTTAATTCAAACTGATCATACTCCACTCTTAGTTGTCTCATAGGAAGGACAGTTTTAACCTGTAAACAGTACACAAATACATACAACAGGATAAAATAATTACTGATCCAGTAAATTAGTAAAATTTTGTTGCTAACAGATTTATACTTACTGAAGTGATACCAGCATTTCTTAATATTTCTTCCCAATGATCCACTGTGGGTTCATGATCAATTTTCCGGCCTTTCTTTAAGTCTGGTGTAATTAAGCATACCTCACCAGATGAGGAAGCTGTACTATGAGGAAACACACTGGAAAAAGTAAGAATATAAACAACGAAAATGTAGATATCCATTAAATAAAATTTTATTTATTGCAGAAATATACACACTTATGCTACAAAACACATGACCCATAAATAGATAACAAATACACAAACACCCACATTTAATATACACAATTATAATTAAGTAAGCATGAGGCAGTAACTTTTTTATGATTATTTATTTGATAAGTATTTTGTTAATCTTTGACGTGAATTTAAAAGGTCCTTGAACCTTGAATCAGTGTGGGTGACAGTTGTAACAGTACCTTTACTAATAGGAATGAGGTGATGTTGATAAATTTAATAGAGCCTCGCTAAACAAAGATGTAGTTCATCAACAGCTATTAAAAATATCTAGCAACAGTGTTGCTGAGATTGTCTGTTAACAGCACGCCATGTTCTTGGATTTGGTGGTTATAAATATAAGTGCACTTACAATTTAACGTTTCCTTTAGAGGTTTGAATTTTTATACAGTGGATTTCCGCAAAAATTGGTTGTTCATCTTCAAAAATAGCGTTTTTCTTTTTTGTGATAGCAGCCAATTGATTTATTGCATTTAAACATGATTCCACAATACTTTCAGTAACATACTTTGATGGCATGATAAATTTAACCTTTTTTTTCTTCTGGACAACTTTTTCATCTTGAATTATAGCTTTGATGCTAACTTTTTTCCTTTTATGTTCTCCCTCAGTTTTCTCCATTACTTTGTTTTTCCTTGGCTTTTTTATTTTGTCTACCACTTTGTTTTTGATTAAATTTTCTTTTTTTGTGTTATTCTGTAAAATTGACTTGGAGGACACCATTGCTATTACTTTAATTGAATTTTATTTGTCCAAACGCCAGAATCGCCTTGTCTCGTGGTATAAAACACATTTATTTTTGGGTTATGTTGTGACTTGTGACTTTTTTTTAAGATTATCCCTTTTTAGATATGGCAAAGGGAATAATGCCCATACAGCCATAACTTAAATTAATCTTTTTTTACATTAGAATGTCGCATGTCCGTGTGACGCATCCTAATGTTTCTTGAATGTTTGGCACGAAATGTATCGATCTGGCTTTTTCGATAAGCTTCTGTGAGGTAGTCAACACTACAATAAACACAAACTATATAGTGATGCTAGCGCATACAATAAAGTTCTCACGTCCACTTGACCGGAATAGCGTATACAGGGCGTCCCACTGCTACCTCACACGGAGGGAAAGTATATTAAATATTAAAGATAGGATATTTTACTGACAGAAGACATCATTTCATTTTTGATAATAACTAGAACTGCATTCACAGATTTTTTAAAAATCGGCTGCTACAACTAGGAATCAAACTCGTGAAATTTCGAAAAAAAAATACGACATATTTTATGATAACCATCGAAAGGGTTTATCATAAAGATTATTTTTTACTAATTAACATAGCATTTTAAATGAAAGGAATGTCTTATTACATGATAAAAAGAATAAAGTGATATACAAACTGTAGTACGTATGCATTTCTTTTTGAACTCAGTTACAATGCGATTTTGCGGCTGAAATTTGTAAAAATAATAATTCGAAAATAAAACACATACATTTTCAAGCGTCTGTACCTCTAGCAAGAACCATTATCGAATTCGAATAGTTTGCGAGTGTGAAATGTCAATGTCAAATTTTGTATGGAAACCTATACAGCAGCACCACAAAGTACGTAACGAGAACTAAAAATCAGTACACATTTGACAATGACATTTCGCACTCGAAAACTATTCGAATTCGATATTGGTTCGTGCTACGGTTATTGTTCTTTTTTTTGTGTTTTTCATTTTAGTTAAAAACCGGGTTCTCTTAATACATTTTTACAAATGGAATCTAAATAAGGGAATATATCTAGAAATACTTAATATTTTAAGAGGTAAGATCAATAATCTTCCTGATGCAAATCGACGAAATCTCATTTTACAGCATTTCGACACCTCCTACGTATAATATCGTAAGTGTATTTGATCAACTTTACAGTACAGCAATTATAAGATTCGCATGCACATTATTGGTTCCCACGAAGACAGGCATTCTTGCACGAGAATCAAAATTGGCATACGCCTATATATTTATAATTGGAATGTTACCTTTGATAAGATTACTTGATTTTTTTGGTGGATTTCTTTAAAAGTCACATACGGTTTTTTACATTGGAAAAAATCAGTAGTATTTTATTGTATATATGCACTTCCCACACTTTATACTGAACTGTGTTAATGGTTAAATATCGTATGATATAATTACAATTACTTACATCGATATCTCAATAGTGGTTTTTAAAATCTGTGAACTTACGATAGAGTGCTTTTCTACATTTACCGGTATCGACCGACATATCGCTTCGTAAGCAATATATTAAGGAAAAAATAAAATAAAATAGCTTGAATTAAACTGAAAAGTATTATATTTTGCAATCTGAGCCTTCAAAATCAACACTGATTTCTCAAAGGGCTAAGTATTTAATTATCGAATAAAAGTCATCAGCTAGTAAAAAATTTCGATTCTCGAATAAAGGTTATCAGTCGGTTAAATTCACATCTAAGAAAAATTATAATTATGTCAATAACAAAACAAGATTGATATGAATAACATGTAATATTTTTTATTTGAGCATTGATGAATCAGCCCAAAACTTAAAAGTAATGGCACATTCTCTTAAAAATTTCTAATCTCAAAAAAATATACTAATCTCTTCCAAAGAATAAATAAACAAAATTTTACTTTCTATTTATTTACCATAAGAACTATCAGTCTAATTTTTCAATCTATAAAAATTACAAATCACATAGTTACTAAAAACGTTGCTTTAAGCTTTCACTATAAAAAATGAATCCGAATCTGAGTTAATATTAAGATTATTGTCACTCTCTGGTAAACTTTGGAAAAAAACATGATTTGAGATTTGCACATATTCACTAAGTCATTTTTTTTGCCTTGGGAATATACAGACAGGTTTCATAAAGTCCTTCTACATTAAAAACATTGCATTTTACCCAATTTCCCTTTAATAAAGCTTTGTAATTAAAAAAGTTAATAAACTGCAATTCTTCGACAACGTAAGACTTTCTATTTTGTTTAGCTCCACGAACTAAACAATACCACTGAAATGGTGTATAAATAAGCTTATTTCTTAGCAATTTTCTCGATTAATGCGTGGACGCTGTCACCTTTACTTTGGGTATGACCGACTTCTAAAAAGCAATTATGAATAGTGACTTCAAACGTAATAGCTGCGTGCATATACATAGCATAAACAATTCGGTATTTTGGTGCTGGCCTACACAATAGTCCGACCAAAACCGAAATTCACGTGTGCCTTGATCCTTGTATTTAGCTATATACTTTTTAAATAAGCAACCCGCCGCAAAGCAACCGCATCTCCCTTGTCTTTCTTTCCAAAAGATAGATTTGTTAACTGATTCTGAGGAAATATTTGAAGTAAATAATGTTTCGCTTATGGAACAAAGTCAGTACAATAAAGTTCTGATACTATAATGTATTACTTTTACTATTTTTTATTTCAGACAACAAAAAATATTGTTATAAAATCACATATTTCGTTCTTCTTTTTAGGTCCTGATGATGAGTCTTCAGCGATTATTGACTTTCACGGTTACCTAAATCCCAAAACCTCCCCGTAATTCTCTCTTCATTACTACTATTTTAGTTGAAAATTTTAGTCTGCATGTCGTATGACATATAAGTCCCAAAGATTTACCACACCTAACAGTGCCGTCGCGACTCTTATACGCCTTGCCCAAGTTTGTTATTTTGTTTCTTTTGTTGTCTTACCATTCAGTAACATGACGACGTCTGATATTTCCCTTGTCCTTCTTGGGTTGTTTTTTCTTTTCCTTGAAGTTTGTGGTGTCGCTTCTGAGAAAGAAGATAAAGGCGTTTGCTTGCGGAGTATAAACCAAACCAGTTTAAGTTGCATCAACAGATTGTAGTGGTGAAATATCTTTTTCAACAAACCAGGGACAGAATTTGTTATCACAATCAAAATCTAGATGATTTATTGTACAGTCTGGCGAAGGATATCGCGCAATGCTTTCAATAATCGCTGAAGACTCATCATCAGGACCTAGAATGAAGAACGAAATATGTGATTTTATAACAATATTTTTTTGTCTGAAATAAAACATAGTAAAAGTAATACATTATAGTATTAGAACGCTACTGCAAGTTTTACTATTACTTACTGTGTTCCATAAGCGAAACATTATTTACTTCAAATATTTCAGAATCAATTAACAAATCCATCATTCCATTTATTCCTGCAATGTTTGCGTCGAACAGAAGTGGCCACTCTGCAAAAAAAAAAATGAAAAATACTTAAAACTGCATTTTTTTGGAAAGAATAATATCGTAAATTATTGGTTGTAACAGAGTACAATATACTAAGTATCACATACAATAGAAAAATACGTTGACATTTCAACGTAAAGTTTCGGAAGTATAAATACGATAACCATTTATATTTTTATCCCATCGTATAGTATCGTAAATAGTCACTTAAGATAGTTGAAAAGTATCTGTTATAGAAGTATAGTGTAGTAAGTCATACTTACGATATTTTACTTTGGGAACTATACGATTTTAAGTTATTATATAAACATATTTATTTTAATATTAGAAAATACATATTTACCCTCAACCCTCATAGACTCTTCAACAACAGCGTTGTCGCTAGTGTCGGTACAAACGTCAACATCATAGTTTGAATTATGAACGGTCAACTGTTTTTGTGAATCCAAGTCATAATTTGTAGTCGCTGCTTCAATCATTCGTCGCGATCTCGGCGACATAATTATGGTTTAATATAACACTGTAGATTATTTTATGTGACCAGAGTGCTAAATAACAGAAAATGCAAACGTAAACAGCGCGCAACAATCACTCCCGCGTACTCAATGGTTACTAACACTTACGATTCGGTCGCGCGGCTCAGCGATGCCTCCGCCCCCCCGTATAATATGGGAAGTGTGCTATACCACATATTACATCGGGTGAGATGAACATACGATAGTTTGTGGTCTTATTATCTAGTGTTTTATTGCAGATATATTTTTTTGGATTAGTTCAGGCGATAATATACCATTAATTATATGTAAAACTGTAATAAAGTAATTTTACACGTTTTGTTGGTTACGATACTATACGTAGGAGGTGTCGATTTTATAAGAGTAGGAGAACTGCCGAGTTTCTTAATGAACACTTTCCTTCCTGGATCGGTTCTAATAGACTAATAAGATGGCCAGCGAGATCCCCAGATCTAACCCCACTGGACTTTTTTGTGGGGTTATGTAACAGATGTAGTATACAAGAACCGGTAAGACAGTGTGCAGGAGTTACAAAATAAATCAGACGTATTATTACAAACATTCACCACGCAAAGATAATGAAATCGACAGGCAGAGAAAACATTAATAGAGTGAGAATTTGCATACAACAAATCGGATCACATTTTGAACATTTGATACATTTCGTTTTTTATTACTTTTTGTTGAATATTTTTAATAAAATGTGTAATTTTATGACTTTTCTTTCATTTAAAGTGCTATGTTATTTAGCAAAAAATAATTGTTATGATTAACTCTTTCAATAGTTATCATAAAACATGTAGTGTTTTTTTTTTTCGAAATTTCACGAGTTTGATTCCCCGTTTTAGCAGGCGATTTTATGATATATATTGAAAATTGTAACAGTTTTTTTATGCGACTACCAAACGAGGAGTGTTATATTTTCAGAGTTCATATTTTTTTATGTTAAAAGGGGTCATCATTGCGTATGCATGCAATACCAAAGCTATCACTCCCGTCGTTGCCTACCCTGTCCTCTACCCCGTGGAGCCCTCGTACCTTACTCACCAATAGAAACA